GGTAGCAGCCCGGGTTAGGGGTTATATCACGGCGTTGGCGATGGGGGGTGAAGGGGGGCGGGGACAAAAAAGCCTGTAACGTTATTAGCGAGAGAGCGGGGGAGAAACTAGATTTTATGTCGAGGGTGGCTATGCATTTTTATGGCGATGGCCGCAGCAGCCGGCGTGGTGGAAGAGTGTTGAACTTTGCGTGTGTCGAAGGTGGGCAGAAAATATTTTTGGGATAAAGCACAAGCTCCGCGGTTCCTCGCTGTACCATCGCCCACCGCAGGCGATGCCGTCAGACCGGTATACCAAGGGGCCAAGCGGCAGACACGGGGATGCGTGTGTTCAATGGATCATGCGGCTCATTGGGTGCAGTTTTGGTGAGCAGGGAGGAGGGTGTGTGGTGTTGTGGCAGCGGCGCGAAAGGGAAAGGGTCCACGTGCGACCGCTGTTTTGGAGCGCCCAAGTGTGCCAGCGCCGTGGACGATACGTAGAGAGGTGCTTCCTACCGAAGATGGCAGCAAGTGGCTGGCTCGTGCGCTTTTGTTGGTTCGGCGATCATCGCGTTGTCCGTTTTCCGTGAGGTTGCCCAACCGAGTCGTCGTTTTCCGCCAGATGAGAGAGCGACACAAAGCAGTGGCCGAGCCTTTTGCGTGCAGTTGCCGCACACGTGTGTGGGGGGGTTATTTGTACCCGAAAAGAAAAACCGACATGCGTGCTTGCTTCCGTTGGTTAGCCAGGGCCGGAAGCTGTGGTGTGTTGGTCCATTGGCGGTCGAGTTTGTTCTGAGACGGTTGGACCCTCGGTGTGCTCGTTGTCAACTCGGCTTGTGGCCGGCCGGAGTGGTGTTGGTGTTGTGGTGTGGCCGCAACGCGTTGGGCGGGTGTGCCCTTGCCGGGGAAGGGGGATGATGATCAGCGGTTTATGATGTCGAGGTTCGGTGCAAATGGATACCTACATCACCCGCGGGGGGGGGTGGGGGGTGGGGGGTGGAAGTAGGTCCCGCACCGGACGAAATCGCCTCAGGGTTTCCGCTCAAGGTTCGGGAGGCGTGGATTTTCAGGTCAGCCCCGCTGCAACTGCTGTGGCCAGGGGGTGCCAGCAGTTGCCGTCGTGACATGTGACCGTTTTGCGCTACAGGCCGCGACACTCAAGGGGGGGTGGGGGGGTGGGGGGGGGCAAAAAATGTCTTGTGCTCATGGCGGTGGTGGT